AATGAGGAGAAGAAGAATTAAAGGGAGGGGAGGGAAAGGGAATGAGGAAAAAAAGAGGAAGCAAGATATGTACAGGTACAAAATCTATAGTGTTTTTTTTGTTGAATATTATTATTATGTATATTTAAATACACCAATGACATAAAAAGTAAAAAAAAAAAAAAAACACTAAACCAGGAGTAGAGGACAACTTCCCAATCTGACATGGGTTATTTATAAAAGACAGCTGGGCATGGTAGTGCATGCCTATAAACCCAGCACTTGGAAGGCTGAGGCAGGAGAATCTCCACAAATAGAAAGACAGCCTACAATATCTAGTGAGTCTGAGGCCAGCCAACCCTACAAGGTGAGACCCTGTCTGTTTAAAAAAAAAAAAAGCAGCTAACATCAGATGCAGTGATAGAAAAATAGAATGCTTTCTACTTTCTGAGATCAGGAACATACTGCTATCTGCTGTTATCACTACTAATTTACAGATTCCTAACAGTATAATGGGTTAGAAAATGAAATAAAAGGCACACAGTTGGTAAAGAAAGTAATCATGATGTTTGCAAATAAAGATGGTTTAATTAGCAGAAAAACTCAGAGAACTCCCCAAAAGATACCTAAGGTTAGGTTTACAATGATTCTTATATAAAGACCAATTTTATTTCTGTATATTTATAAGAATGAATTAGAAATTTTAAAATGTTTAAATACCATTTAAAATAGCTTGAAAATGTCAAATAGTAACAAAATATGTGCATGGTATGTGTGCTTAAAATTTTAAAATAATGTTAAAAAGGATTAAGAGAGAGCTAAATAAATGGGAAAAATATATCATAAGCTCAAAAGGCTCAATATTTAAAATGTCAATTTCCTCCAGATAGATTTAATCTCTGTGAAGAGTAGGGTTTTTGTAGAAATCAACCATCTGATTCAAAAATTTAGACACATGCAATAGCCCAAAGTTTTAGGAAAAATAAGACACCAAAATATAAGACTCACTGTAAGATTCACTGTTAAGACTACTCTAACCAAAGACAGAAGAGACTGACAAGAGGATAAACACATATAACAGAACTAAGTCCAGAAAGAAAACTACAGTGAAAATAATTCAATGGAAAAAGCATGTCTTTTCAATACATGGTACAGATCAAGTAGAGAACCATATACAAAGAAGTAAACTTGACTTTTACCTACCACCACATATACAACTATGAAGTAGATCACACTCAAAATACAAATGCTAATACCATAAAACTTCAAGAAGAAAACACAGGAAAAAATCTTCATGACTTTGGCTAACCAGTTTTTTCACATGTAACACATTTGTAAACTATAAAAGAAAAACTGATAAATACCTCAAAGTGTAGTATTCCCATTCTCTGCAAGACACTTAAGTAAAAATGAACCATACAGATAGAGAAAAAAGATTAGCAAAGCATCTAATAGGGTATTTGTACCTAAAATCCATACAGAACTCTTAAATCAGGGCTGGGGAGAGGGCTCAGTAGAATAAGTGCTTCCCTGGCAAGCACAAAGGTCTGAGTTCAATCCCTGGTAAAAAAAAAAAAAAAAAAAAAAAAAAGATAACCAGGAACTCTTAAATCTCAAGGCAAGAAACACAATTTCTGATAGAGGTTCAAAAGACTTTCACAGACAGTTAACCAAAGGAGATACACAAACGGCAAGTAAGCGCATGAAAAGATATCACTACAGAAATGCAAATTAAAACTTCAATCCTTAAAGATTTGTTTACTCTCAGGAGCTGATCAGTCTCCTAATCTTACAGACAAGTGTACAGAAAAGAATAAAGGAGACAATGCAGATGGTTTACAGGAGTCCAGGAAGGTCAGAGTTCGTGGGGACAAAGACAAAGACTCTAAACTGGCCAGTATTTATCGGGTCCTTAACTTATGGCGGGGAGGGAGTATCAACAAAGTACAGGGAAGAGCTGGGGCAAAAGGGGCACAAAAAGGAGAAAGGCCTTGCAAAAAAAGAACAAAGACACTTCAAGCAGTAAATCTTTGCTTAGTGAGAGAACTGTTTGATCTCTACCCTTGGCAGTATTGCCCTTGAAATTTTGAGTCACCCTCCACAACTGTCATATTATCTTCCCTTCGGAGAGACCACCTCAGGTCTCTACCGTGATCCAGTGGCACAGTGTTCTACTTCTGCCCACAGGCACTGGCTCTTCAGGAAAGTCGCTTAAGCCTATGACAGACTCATAAGTTAATATAGAAAAGCCAACTGATTAATTCTAAAGCCTGCTCAGCTCTGCCTCATGTGGTCTTCATTGGCTTAGAGACCTAATAAATGGCTAAAATTTAAATGTCTGATAATGCCATGTGCTGGTAAGTTCTGAAGGATCAAGAACTATACCATAGTAAGAACACAAATTCAGTAAGCCCATTTGGAAAACAACTAAAGATTCTCAAAGATAAGAGTAGCATCCTAGCACCCAACTGCTAATTATATATCCCAGAGAAATGAAAAAGAAACCTAGACATGAATGTTTATAGTTGCTTTTGTCATGAACACTAAAAACTGGGAACAATCAATGCCTATTTAAATAAATACAGGGCTGGGGAGATAGCTCAATGGTCTAAGTGCCTGCCTGGCAAGCACAAGGACCAGGGTTCAATTCCATGCCACACGGGACCCAGGACCCCGGTGCACCGTGCCAGCTACCAAACCCAGGCATTGTGGTGCATGCCTGTAATTCCAGCAATGGGGAGGCTGAAATGGGAGGATCACTATAAGTCCGAGCTGCATAGCAAGACCCTGTACCAATAAAAAGAAAAGAAAGCTTAAAATAAATAAATAAATACATACATACACACACACACACACACACACACACACCCCACTAGGTACAATATATCCATAAATCAAATATATAGAGCTTAGTAATTAAGAAACATCCAGTAATGGTATCTGAATAAAAGCTAGACACAAAAGGCATTACATTATGTGATTCTGTTTATATGTTATTTCAAAAAAATGCAGAACTTCAGTAACAGAAATCCGATCGGTGATTACCAGGACCTGGCATGAATTGAGGTAATCAACTGCAAACAAGAAGGGATGCTCTGAAGTCATTCAACTATTTACCTTACGTATGGCAGTGATCTCACAAACAAGTATTTGTCGAAGCTCAAATTATGCACTTCAAAGAAAATTAAGTTTACCTGCATATCAGTCACCTAAAATAACCTTTTGATAAAGTCAAATGTCCTTTGCTATATCCATTAAATTTTTTTAAATGTCCAATGAGGTAAACTTAAAACACATGACCTAATAATGTCAATAATGTGTTTATTATTAAATTATGATTCCTTTCTAATCTGAATTCTATTTCATTTAATATATTCATGATGCTGAAAAGATATAGAAAAATTTTAATACATTCATGAATGAAATCTAACTTGTTTCACTGAACTGTAGACTTAGTGTCTGATTAACCTAAAGCAACCCTAAAGTAGTATAGCATTGTGCCATAGGTTTTTCCTATCACCTACATTAGGAAACCATTTCATAGGATATTTAAGAACCAAATGTCACAACTTTTACAAAATACTTCATATATAACACGGCAAGTGCTCAAAAGCACAATTTCTATTTTCCAGTCACTGGCTACTTAAACACTGTTCCAAATTTCCTGGCTCAAAATATATTATTTCCTACTAGCATTTTTGTAAACATTGTAGTAAAGAGTTGGGCTGTATTTTTTTTTTTTTTAATGTATTTAGTACAGGGTCTACAGGGTCTCACTATACAGATCAAACTCACGGTGATCTTCATGTTTTCTGTCTCCCAAGTCTGGGATTACAGGTGTGCACCACCATGCCCAGTCTCAGTCACACTCTCAAGCACGCCGTGGGTGCGGGGCTGGCACAGCACACCGGGGTCCCTGCGCCTGCCTAAGCAGGCACTTTATTCTGCTGAACTACTTAGCCCTCAAGTACTTGCATTTTTATTTCTTTTTCAAGAGATGACCAACAATAAAGGAATATAAAGTAGAAAGAAACATAAGGGACAGGACTAAAAAACATACATGAGTATCTATTAGCATCCCAGGAAAGAGCTATTTTCTTTATCTAGGTCCTCTCTCTTACTCCTCCTAACAAGTGCTTCTAGAGAAAACAAGAAGTTACAGGCAAACGTTGAATAAGCCTTCATAAGTGGTCTTTAAAGAGACGTGTTCAATGTCTGGCTTGGTGCTCAAAAGTATATGTTACCAAAAGTTAATTTCATCTTCAGTAAAATTTAAGCAATTACCACTGGTCCTCACAACAACTTAATCAAAGTGTAGGTTAAGAATCATCATAAAAGATCTTCACACTTTAAACAATGAGCCTCACTGCCTTCCTTTATGTCAGTCACGTCTCTGGCTACTTTCAAAACCTACAGAACCAGCAAATGAGATTACGTCAACAACTTTTTAGACTTCCTGGACTATTTCTGCATTTAAATATGAAGCACAGAGGGAAGAATTCACGCAAAGCACCCTTCTACGCTTCTCTTACTTTTCACTTCTTTTGAGTTCTGACAAGGCAGCAACAACAGTAATAACTGATTAGTAATACTGTACTAATTACTATAGTAATTACTGTGTTAATAATACAGTAATTATTACACAAGTTATTACTGTGTTATTATTACTGTAATAATACAGTAATAACTTGTGTAATAATTACTATATTACACACAGTAAATAAAAACATGACAGACGACCTATCAAAAGTAACTTAACTGGGCCAGGGAGATGGCTCAGTGGAGTAAGCGCTTCCCTGGCAAGCATGAGGACCTGAGTTCAATCCCCGGTTCCACAAAAAAAAAAAAAAAAAAAAAAAAAAAAAAATTAACTTAACTACAGAGGGAAAGAGGGGCTGGAGGGGGAGAATGGGGAAAAAAGAACAATGCTGTGCCATGTGCTGGTACAAATTCCCGATGATGAATGTTATCACTATGTATATCTAAAACGTACCAATAAAGAAAAAGTAATATAAACTTACCTGTAATGCTTTGTTCTCTTTAAGATCGAGCCCAAACACATCACGCCGCTTCACTTTAAGAAAATCATCATCAGGTCCATCCTCTTCCTCATCATCTCTGTCCAAGAACTGCACAGGGACATCCTTGACCTCCTGCCCTTCATCAGTGTTAGGGACAGACTGAGTTTGAGACCCTCTTTCTTTTCCCGGTTTCTCTTCCATTTCTTCATCATCTTTCTCCCCTTCCTCCGGTTCTTCACCACTAGAACCACTATCCAGGCTGTGCTCTGTTTCTTCTAGGCCTTTCCCACCTTCCTGTAGGATGGACATTTTCTTGCTGAAATAGGCTCTGAATTCTTCCACTTCCTCATTGGTGAGGGATGGAGCACTGTGCTCGATTGTTTTGTTAGCTTGGCTCCTCGCCCCTTCTTTGGTGAACTGCTTCTGCATTTTCTGAAGAAATCTTATTCGCGGTGCCACAGCAAGACCAAGAGACCTTAAAACACAAAAGAAGAAAATTACTTCAGCATACTTGAAAGTACAGTCTATTTACAGTCTGACTGAACACAGTGCTGGACTTACAGCCATGTGTTACCATACCTGGCCTCATACGTTTTTCAAGAGGCACAGGTACCTACACTCTCTTCCTCATCTCTCGTGGCAGGGCCGCAGTTTGACTAAGCATTTAACTCAGGCAGCTGGACCTCAGGCTTGTCACCTCTGGTAGGAGTCGTCCAAATTGAAGGCCTGTGCTTAGAAAGTAAAACTAACCTCCTAACTGACCTCAAGAATCACCTTTATTACCACAAACCTAGTAAGAGATGTCAGGAGTCACACCCACAGAAGCTCATACTTCAGCCAAGTTCCTCTTAGAAATATTGTAATTAATGGTCTCCATATCAGACACTCATTCCCAAATGTTCCTCTGAGACACAACTCAAAACTAAAGGTTAAACAATCTAAAAGCCAAGTGAAAATGCACCAAATGTCCATCCAAAAACAGTTTAGACATCTGGTTTGAGTAACGCATAACATAGAAGAGTACTGCAACCCAAACAAGGCAGTCACAGCTCCAGATGCACACCCACCAACTCTTAGCCTCCGCTTCCTCACAACACGGGATATTAACATTGACCAGGCCATCTCACTGTCACCGTGAAGACCCAACTAAGAACTATATGAGATGTGTGAAAATACTTTGCAGAATATAGCCTACTAAATAAAATGAAGAAGACAGGGCCATGAAAGAACAAATCCAATTTTCTACAAAAACTGAATCTGAGTTCCATCACAGTCCATCCCCTTTCTGAAACACATGATGGCATAATCACTGCCATTGGATTTTTACTTAAAAAACAAAAAATTTTATTTTTTCCACACATAATCAAAATTCACTTTAAGATTAGGTCTTCCTCCCCTTCAAAAATCAAAGCTATCAGCTTTCACTTAATTCCTACTGGTAGACTAGAAATAAAATCTTAAGTAAAAGAAAGCTTCAGTAAACAACTATGTTATAAAATGGACTCACTCCATTTTCCTAAATGGCAAGAGTCATGAAGAAACAGAGGCGTAGTACTGAAGGTCACAGATTCAGAAATGGGACTGCTCAGGTTCAAATGCCAGTACTGTCACTAATAGCATGATCTCAGGTGCATCATTTAATTGATCTAGAGCTCCAGGTGTGCTGGCACATGCCTATACTCCCAGCCCTCTGGGAGGCTGAGGCAGGAAGACCACAAGTTCCAGTCCAGCCAGGGCAATTAAGCAAGGCCCTATCACAAAACAAGAAAAGCCTGGGAATTCGCTCAGTGTGAAGACCCTGAATTCAATCCTCGGTGCAAAACCAATAAAAACAAAAACAAAAAAAGAAACTCTCTCCAGACCTTTTCCTAGTTGCAAAAGGGAGTAACTAAAGAATAACTAGCTCATCAAGCTGTTAAAAAAAAAAAAATTAGGTAGGGGCCAGGGAGATGGCTCAGTGGAATAAGTGCTTGCCAGGCAAACACAAGGGCCTGAGTTCAATCCCCGGTTCCACAAAAAAAAAAAAAAAAAATCAGGTGACTCATATAATGCATTATGTTTATATACTTTTTTAGCTACTAAAACTTTGTTTCTTGAAGACAGAGATTCAAATATATGAATAATGTTAACACTGAGCACAATAACCCACACAAATTAAACATGCAAAAATGTTTCTTCCACAAATTTTTTAAAACTTTCTTTTAGGGCCAGGGAGATAGTTCAGGGGCATAAGCATCTGCTTGGCAAACATAAGGTCCTGAGCTCAATCCCTGGTAATATATATATTGCATACATAATATATTTATAATATATATATTGCATATATAGAACTATTTCAGTCATCAAAGACTTAGAAAGGAAATTACACACCACAAGAAAGTATACATATAAATATCCACAAACACTAAAATCACCATTTAAGCTATATCAGTAAATTAGGACCAAGTTAATTTTCTCCCCCTTTTAAGTATCACAAAAAGCAAAAGTCTTCAACTGTAAACATGACATGTACTCAAGGCTGATGCAACAAAACACCTCCTAAGTGTAGCCCAACAGTATTAAAAAACCTACACCCATTTTGGTTGCTGATACTCCAGCTAAGTCGATCAAAAAACCAGGACAGAACGTCACATATACTATAAAAATCAGCTAAAGCCTAAACCATAGATCATATTCAGTGACGGTGAAAGTATGCACTGGCAAAAAAGCAAACAAAAGTGTGTTATCCATGGCATTGTTTTCTACCCATGAAAACCTAGTGGCCCACTACTATTAGCAATTTAAAGATTCTAAAATAGTGTAACGGGCAAACTGCTTGTCATATTAAACCTACAATCTAACATCAAGAAGAGAAAACTCCGGAGCTCACACAGATGAAAATTTCGGTTAGGCTAAATTTAAAGTTAAGTGCACTCAAATTCCTGGAGAACAGACCAAACTTCTAGAACTGCCTAGCATGAGTTCATCACAGTCTGGGAAACGCCATGTTGATACTCAAAGCAAGATAAGGCTCACAGGGGCATCTATCAGTAATTTTCTGACACAGGGTACTACTCTCTTAAAGAATGAACACTTCTTTTAGGCAAAAAAAATTTGTTTTTGAAAATCTTTCAAATATTCATTCAAAACAAAAGCAATCACTCCATTCATATAATGGTAACTTCAGCCACTAAATACTGTCATCTTGCCAAATTAACTGCAAGTACCTAGAAGAAATACCAAAATAAAGAATACACAGGACATAGAAACATGAAACTTTCCCTGATAGCAAGAGGGGAACACTTAGCAACTAATCGTTCACAGAGCTGACTTAATCTTTTTCTCTAGATCTTCAACAGATCCTTTTACTGTAAGGCAAAGTGGTTTAAACTAGGACTCTCAGATAGCCAGGCTGGAAACAATTTCTCTCTAACTCTGAGGAGCCATAATAACAGCAAAACTGTATACTTACAGTGCATATTCAGTAATAGGTAGCTTGCTCACATCAAATACTTCTTTATTCTTCATAAGATACACTGAACGTATGTAGGAGACAAAACACTGTAAAATAAAAGGTTGAGAAGTATAACAATGGAAATGGAAAATGAAGTTACACCAAAATAGAAAGAAAATTAACCAAAAGGATAAATTAACAGCAGTGAAAAGCAACAATATGTCAGCACATCCCTATTCTGCTCATAGGCACATAAAAATAAATAAATAAATAAATAAATAAATACTCTATCTTTCAGAACTGTAATAGCAGAAAAAGTTGTGCATTTGGCTTCATCAGGCCAGCTCAACACAGATTATCACCTCCCCAAAAAGCTCCTCTAAAAGGTAATATTCAGTTACAATAATGAGAACCCATAGGTACTGGAATAGTACAGAATATCTACACTAAGCTCTATCTTATTAGCTAAGTGAATTTCTTGTTTCTCTAAAGAACAGTTTCCCCAGATATCAAAAATAGTGATACCTATTTACAGTATTACAACAAAATGAGAAAATTTATACAAAATACCTACCACATCTTCTGGAATATTGAAAGTACCAGTAAATGTTTCTTATTGGTAATATTATTACAATGGTCAAAAGATAATTTCTTCAACAAAACAAACTTTTACTAAATTAAGCGATGCTTAACTAAATCATAACAGAAAAGGGAGTTACTACAGCTTTTTCTTTTTTTTTTAAACTATGATTTCAAGTAAGTTATCATCCCTGGAATATCTTTTCCCATTTCTGCTTAAAACAAAATTATACTCATGTCAGAACTTTATAAACCAAGAAGTACATGTCCTGATCCACTGATAAAATTAATATGTAACAAAATACATTATTTTTATTTTTAAATTAATTTTTATAAGTGTATTTAATCCTCATGTTTCTTAAGCTTCATATTTTCCTCGAACTTTAGAGTAACGTTGTTGTTTTTGTTGTTTTTGTTTCTATTGCTGTTGTTAAATTCTGGGGATTAAACCCAGGGCTTTGCACATGCAAGGCAAGAACTCTACCACTGAGCCACATTTCCTACACTGATATTTTTATACCCAACTAACTCTAAACAATTTTCTGACTGCACAGGGATGAACAAAAATAGATAGTATCCATTCAAAGATATTTCCCTGTACAACCAGCCACAAAAGCAAATCACTCCGGTTGGTTATCATTTTACTCCAATCCAAACTATAATCAAGAGCTAGAAAATCACTTCTGTAAAATGAGATAGTTTGCTGGTGATGGCAATACAGCCATTCTGCTAAACCATGCATGATACCAAATACACCGTATCATTTATTTCAATGCGCTATTCTATAATCTTTACTCTGAAGACTATTCTATGATAGTTATTCTGGAAGGTAGCTCACTTGTTGTATGTATAAACCAATGAAACAACATCTTTCCAATTTTTCTGAAACATAACGGGATAACTTCCTAATTATGCAGCAGTTCATGATGTTACAGAATCCATACATATGGTTTTTAATGTATGTACTATTCCCAAAGTTTGTAAAAGAAGCTTCCTAACTTGAATGTTTGCTAGACAACATATGCACACAAATAGCTTCATGCCCAAAATTAAAGAAAAAAAAGAAATTTGTTCAAAGATCCTTCTCACTAAATTTCAGATGAAGTAAACTTATAGAAGTATAATTTTAAATGGTTTAGTATCTAGATTTCTCATCTTTTAGATTACTTCCTCCTGAAGTAACAGAGTTCTCAAAGACATGAATCTAAATCTACAGACTGCCATTTTTAATAGCTATGTGACTCTACACAACTTCTAATTTTCTCAAGCTAGAACTACAGCAAAAAAGTTAAAAAAAAAAAAAAGCAAAAGCACCTACCTACCATGTTTACAGCAGCACAGTTTGTAATAGCTAAATCTTGTAAATAACCCAAATGCCCAGCAACCAAGAATAGATAAAAAATAAAAAAAGATGTGGTATTTTGATATAATGGAGTATTACTTAGCTATAAAGAAAGATAAACTTGAGGCTTTTGTAAGTATGTGGATACAACTAGAGATCATACTTATAAAAGAAACAAATCGTATAAATGAAACACAGACTCGTATGTGTAAACATAATATTGTCTCTCTAGTGTAAAGAACTGAAAGGGTAGGGGCCAAAGAGACAGCTCAGTAGAATAAGTGCTTGCCTGGCAAGCACAGGGTCCTGAGTTCAATCCCCAGTACCACAAAAAAAAAAAAAAAAGAACAGAAAAGGGAAATAAGATACAAAAGGTATAATACATACTGTGAAAGGGAAAACTGCTCAAAAGGAAAGAACAACTGGGATGGGGAAAGGAGAAAAGGAAAAAAAGAAGCTACATAGGTAGACACACACACACACACACACACACACACACACACACCCCTCAATAGCTAAGATAACTATACTGTTAATATCTACTAGTTCACTGAAAGGAACAATTAGTGTTTACATTGCTTAATCACTCTTACATGCCTATAATCTGGTAATATGAGCAACTATTTTGATGATAACAATACGCAATATAATAACAATTGTTAATTTTCTTTTTTTGTATTTTTAGGGAAGGGTCTACAGGGTGTTCAGGGTGTCACTACCAGATCGGACTCATAGTGATCCCCCTGTTTACAGCCTCCCAAGTGCTGGGATTACAGGCAAGGGCCACCCAGTCTCAATCACCATCTCAGCACACCCGGGGGGGGCAGGGCCGGCACAGCAGGCCTGGGGATCAAGCCCCCAGGCCCAGCACCTGCTTGCAGGTGCTTTAATCCGCTGAGCTATTTGGCCGGCCTTCATCATTGTTAATTTTCTATCTTATTTTGAAATTCTTTATCATTTTTATTGTTTATTATTCTCTTTAAAAAAAAAAAAAACAACTTAAAAAGCACCTAGCTTATGGGTTACTGGGGAAGTTCAGTAACACAGTGCCTGAAAACCCGTGTAAACTGTCATGTCATGACTAAGTCCCAGCATAAAAGGTCTCAAATTTCAGCTGTTATTAGTATTACTATAAATATAACAATACATTACTAACATATCAACTAAATTAGGAAAAGGCAGAAGTGTTGATCTGTAAGTAAAATTTACTTGCTTGCTGAGAATATCCAGTTTTAAAACTGTAGCATCAAAGCCTGACTGTTGAACACCGTACTGCCGTGGCTGCTCTACCAACGTAGTTTCCATTCCCACATCTTCTTATTTTCTTCCTCCCATCGCACCGATCCACTGAAATACAGTCCTGCCTTTGAATTCCTACTCACTAGCTCACTAGCTCAGCTGTTGATGTGGTCGTAGAAGTGAAGATCAGATGATTACAAGGTAAGATAGTAAAAGAGTGGCCAAAACCAGGACTTCCTAAAGAGACTCACATTTATTAATTCAAAAATTAGGCTGGATAGATCAGAATGTACAATATGAAACTATTTCCCATCATCCTTTTCCAAAGAATCTATTGATAGACTATGAACTAAAAAATTAAGTGAAGCTAAAAAGTGACCCCCTCCACAAATAACTGATATTTAAGTAATAAGTATATTAATTAGTTTAATTTCGACATTCTACAATGTATGTATATTTCAAAATAAGTTGTATACCATAATTTGTTGATTCAGCAAAGAAAGTTTTTAATTTTATTTTTCTCATTATAAGATTTATTCACACAGAATAATTGAGTTTTATGGTTCCTAGAAATTTAACCTATTATAAGATACTAATCTAAGTCAAGAAAATGCAACCAGAACTTACAGCAATGTTATTAACCACATGAAAATTTTATACAATATACTTTATATCAGGTCACTGTACATGTAAAAATCATTTTAAAAAGGACTATCACTCAGCGGACTAAGCACCTACTTAGGCAAGCACAGGAATCAGGGTTTGATCCCTGGTGCCACATGTCATTTGGCCCTGCCCCTGGGCACACCAAGCTGGCCACCAAGTCCGGGCATCGTGGCACACGCCTGTAATCCCAGCGCTGAGAGGCTTGAAAATAGAAGGGTCACTACGAGTGCAAGCTGCGGAGTGAGACCCTGTACAAAATACATGAAAAAAAAATTAAAAATAAAAATAAGAAATAAAAAGGACTACCACTAGTTCCTGTCTATAGACAGGTAATTATAAGAAACTTGTTGAAAATTTAATGAGCAATCTAGACTTACCAATACAAAACACACATCGCTTAAATATTTGAGGCATGATTGTGCAACACACAAGTAGAACAAAATAATGAAATATAACATATGCTAGTCCAATAAAAGTATCAAATTCAAAGTTAACTTACCCTTTGAGCTCTTTCTTTTAAATCTTGATCTTGGGCTAAAAAGGATTCCAATTTTTTCTGGACATCTATTAGTTTTTCTGGATTGATTCTTTGTAACAAAAAATAGATAATAGTTAAACTAAGAAATCTCAATTTGAGAAACTGTAAATAATATGTAATATTCTCCCATTTTAAAAGTATAGGATTGGGGCTGGTGAGATGGCTCAGTGGTCTAAAGCACCTACTTAGAACAAGCTTAGCAAAGCACATGGACCGCGGTTCAATCCCCCAGCACCACATGCCAGCCAGCCCTGCCCCCAGGCGGGCTGAGCTGGCCACACACACACACACACATAAAATAAATAATTTTTTTAAAAAAATTAAAACTATAGGATTATTTCTCATCAACAAGCCAAATTATACCTATATTACACTAGGCTTACATCTCACTATTTTATAAATAACAGAAGAAAAAACATTAATTAAATAAATAATACAAAAGAAATGACATGTCAGACACATCTCTAAATACTCCATGCTGAGTGAGTGAAGAATACAGATTAGCACAACAGTTAGCATTGATTATTTCTTAACTTTATACAGATAAAAAGTAACCTCCTTGGGAAATGGATTAATGAAGTAAGTCAAATTTAACGCCATTTTTGTAAATGTTTCCATTTTCAATCAAGTATTAGTCAATTTCAAATAATAAACAACCCATGATTATAAATAGTGACGTATCTATTTAGAAAGTAAACATAATATATTAGAGGCACTACTTGGAACCGCCCAGGTAAGCTATAGGAAATAATAAAACTTTTACAATGTTCTAGGTTTCCAAGAAAAACACTCTACTTATTTCCCTGATTTTAGACTGAACCACTTCATTCCTGCAAAGTCAGAGTGATGATTGATGAAATAATTTTTTATCAAAGAAAATGTCAATGCAAAAAAGACAGAAGACTTTTACTATCAACAATTATCAACTCACGGCCAATTTGTTTCTTCTACATCCTCAACAACTACATCCCTCATCTAACTTCCTCCAAAATTACTTTTAGGCAATCAAGCCAGGGTATCTCAATAGCTCTTCTACAGTAAGACTGATGGGTTCTCCTAATGCTCATACGACAAATCCTCCATGACAGAGAAGCAAGATCCTCTGAAAGGCACAGGGAGCTGTAAAATAATTTCATCAATGAAATGTCACCCTCCCAATTTTCACTGCTCTCTAAAGCTAGCAAGTTTTCCTTTCCATCTCTTATTTTCTCTACTCTAAAAAATTATTTAAATTTAAAAAGTAAAGCCAGACTTTTGACTTCTAGTTCTATACATAAGGAGTTTATAAGTCAATGTTCCACCTCAAAAAGCAAAGAGCTGAACACACAGGAAAAAAAAAAAAAAAAACACAACTCCTCTTTAATCTGTCAGAAGTGTGAAGACACAAGGTGAACTACAGTCCTCAAGAGGGGAGAAACAAAGAGGAGAACACTAGGAGTCATGGCTTAGTGGAGCAGACTCAGCAAAAACCTACAGGAGAAACAGTGCCTGGGCAAAAAAGCTAAACACAATTCAGAAATGGCTGAAGGTTTGGCATGGACAAGTTTGAGAAAAACTGCAGGCAGAGCAATTCAAGAATGTAGGAAGAGGTCCTTCCACTGTTGTGAGTTTTACCATGATGTTCTCACAAGAAATTCACGGGTCTACACGGAGGATCAAAGAACCCCTCTAAAAGACTCTGTTCCTCCTAACCAATCTCTCTTGAGGGACTTGTCACTCAGTCTACTGGGATTTTATCAAAGCTCAACAGCTATGGTCTGAATTTTAAATGTCCCAGAAACACCATGGGTCAAAGGCTTGGTTGCTAGCCAGGGACACGAATGAAAGGTGGGGAATCTTTAGGAGATGAGTCTGTGCAGCAGGAAGCGCTGCAGGTCACTGTGGGCCTCCTTCAGGGGTATCAGGCCCCCAGCCCCTTCCTATCGCTTTGGGTTCCTGTTGCCAGGCAGGGAGCAGCTGCCCTCAGCACGTGCTCCCCACCGCAATGTTCTGCTTCACTCTGGCCAGAAGCAAAGCACTAAGAGACTGAGGACAGCAACCTCTGCAGATGTGAGCTAAAATAAACCTGCAGAAAGGGAAAGCCAGCTATGGCCACCCAGTGCCACTTAAATTGGGGGATGAGTAGCAATAATGAAGGATCAGTTATCAGTTCCTTTTACCCAAAACATCCTGTCCGGTGATTAAGAAGTAACAAGCCACACTAAAACATTAAAAAAAGGAAAAGAAAACAGATTATACACATTGACCAAGCACGGCAGGGATATCAAAATTAACAGATGGGATATTTAAAAACTATACACTACAGGTTCTAATGGACAAAGCAGACAATACAAATGTGAGGAGAGGGAGGGAAATCCTGAAAATAAATCAAAAAGAAACGCTAGAGATAGAAAACACAGTCAGAGTGGCATCGTTACTATACCGGATAAGGCAAAGGAAAGCAGGTGAGCCTGGAAAAAAAGCCCCATAAAAGAAAAACAGAGAAAGTGGACTGAAAACACAGGCGATAAGGATGACTATAAAAGATCCCCAAACATTCCCAAAGTTAAGGCCAGCAGACGGCAAACCACACTTTAAGATTGATTCCTCACACATACTAGCACATATAGAAAGCTATAGAAAGTATGTAATCCATTAAATCACTGAATCACATACTTAGTCTCCATAGGAATTTTATCCCAGTCTATCTAATTATTAATTTTATATAGACTACAATATTGTCAATCAATCACATGTAACAAATTAAATCAATCCTCATCAACATGGTTCTTATTCTGTCTTAATCTACTAGCCTCTGAAAAACCACTTCGCAAGTATCTCTGTTCTCACTTGGAAGTTTCTATACTGAAACTGTACCATGCATCTGGGTCTCATTTCAGGGCCATTTAAGACTGTGCACTCATTCCTTTCAAATAAAAACATTTGGATGGACTAATAACTAATTGGCCCATGATCACACTTAATTATGTTGCTGACACAGTGAAAGACCCTAACAGAGAGAGAGAGCAAAGTCCTGAGGTTCTTTCAAGGGAGGAGAGCAGTAGGAGGTACTGAGCCCAGGCCTTTGCGCTGAGCCATATCCCTAGCCTTTTCATTTTTTATTTGAGACAGCATCTTAACTAAATCACTAAATTGCCTAGGCTGGGCTTCAAGCTCCTGCCTCAACTTCCCATAGTGCTGAGATTATAGTAATGTGTCACCAAGCCACTCATAGACTTGTTATTCATTAAAAACATGTCTTATGTTTGCTTCTGAGGCAGTTAGGGACTTGACAGTTTTGGTTAAGGAAAAATAACAACAAAAATGACTCTTCATTTGGGAATACAGACATCAAATAAGTGAAAATAAAACGAAGTTTGACCTTGATTTTGTATTCTTACTATAAAACTTTGGGTCAGCTCTTTCCTCAGATCTACACATAGGCATGTTGATCATGAAGGAATACTGTACCTACAAGTTAGTAAAACAAAACTAATTAGCCCTAAGTGTACATAACCTATCTCATCTCCCTTCATAACTAAAAACCCAAGAAACGATTTGTAAGGACATTCAACTATGCCTGGAAGTCTCCATAAGGGAGACAATATTATGTCAATATGTCAATTTTTACCTCCAATTAATCTATAGATTTAATGCAAATCCAATCAAAATCCCAACAAGTTAATTTGTGGACCCAGGAAGGAGCTGAAGTGAAAATTCGGGCAGACACAGAAAAAACAGTGAAGAGACAGACCACAACACAGAAAAAAGAGGGGCAAACTGCCCTTTCTCCCTGTCTCCTGACTCATACCATGTTGGAGGACCAAATCTACCTAGACACAGTAAGCGTAGGTGATTCCTGAAGCCTCCAAGTGGAAACACACCAGAAGACCAGAGCAGTAGGTGCCTCGCACTACTGCAATGTCCCACGGAGGGGGAGCTTGGCCAGACACCATTTTAGGGAGGGGCCAGCTAAACTCAGGACCGAGAACAGCCATGAGTTGATTCCACCTCAGGGCTCCCACTGTTGCACTCCCAGTGAGCCAGGGAGGACAACTGCAGGAGACATCCAGGGTCAGAGAGTGGAGGTAAAGCTGGCAAAGACACCGGATGCCATAAAACATAGTCAAACATATCCAGGAGATGAAAAATTCTATTTAACATGTACGCCAAAGAACTGACCAGTGTAAAGCTAGAATAATCAGATCTAGAGGACAGGTTTGTAACTAGTTACCATCAAATGAAAGACTTCTAAAAAATAGCAAGGGATCATACAAAATCAGTTCAACAGTTGCTAGATGATGCAGAGCATAACAAAACATCAACCAGAATAAATGAAAACTCAGAAAATAACACAAAGGAATTAAAAAATATTGTTCACAAAGGTACAGCAGAAAACTTCACCCACAAAAAGAAAAAAATGACCTACAGTATAAGTGAGGCATACAGAGCTCCAATTAGCCATGATTGGAAAAAACTACACCAGGGCATACAACAGTCAAGATTACAGAAATTGTACATAATCCAGTATTAGTCAATGAAATTGAAAAGTAATTAAAAATCCACCAACAAAGAAAATCCTAGGCCCAGATGGACACACTGTTGAATTTTACAAAAACTTTGGAGAAGATATAATGCCACTACTCCTCAAACTCTATATTTAATAAAACTGAAATGGAACAATACTCCCATACTCATTCCTTGAAGCATTACTTTAGTACCATAACCAGAGAAGGATCCAACCAAAATAAGCCAATCACCTCAATGAACATAGATAAGAAACTCCTGAACGAGATTCTGGCAACCAAAATACAGCAAATCATCAAGAAATCCTATAATTAAACAGGATTCAACCAAAAAATGCACATATGTTTCAACATGCACAAATCAATAGACAGAATATATCACCTTAACAAAACAAAGAACAAAACATACAATCAGCTCAACAGATACAGAAAAAGAATTTGAGAAAGTCCAACACCCACTCCTGATTAAATAAGCTACATAAAATTGGGATAGAAGTTCTTTATCTCAATCTGATACAAGCCATTTATGACAAACCAATAGCCAACAACACACCTTAAAAGGTAAAAACCTGAAAGTTTCTATCTAAAACTCAGGAACAAGACAAGGAGGCCCGCTGTCACCCTCTTATTCGATACAGTTCTGGAAACACTAGCCAGAGCAATTAGACAAGAGAAAATAATAAAAAGAATAAGGACAAGAAAGGAAGAAATTAAACTATCCTTATTTGCAGATGACAAGATACTTTACATAGAAGATCCCAAAAACTCCACCAAAAGACTACTAGATTTCATAAACTAAACAGGTCACATAGTAGGATACAAAGTCAACACTCAAAAATCAACAGTACTCCTGTACACAAACTCATGGACCAAGAAATTCAGGAAACAACACCTTTTATAGTAGCATCAAAAATAAGTAAATAAATAAAAATAAACTTAGGAATCAATCTAACAAAGGAAGTAAAAGACCTTTACATTGAAAACTGCAGTTCTTTGAAAAAGAAGATCGAAATGGATATCAGAAAATGTAAAGTTACCCCTTGTTCTTAGGTACACAAAAAAACCAATATAGTAAAAAAAATGGTCATACTTCCAAAACTGTTATACAGATTTAATGCAATCCCAATCAAAACACCATTGGCATACTTCACAGAACTAAAGAAAACAATCCTAAAATTTATTTGTAGCCAAAAGAGACCAAGCAATTCTGGGCAACAAGGCAAGGCACGGGGCATAGCAGTGCCCAATTTCAAGTTATACTGCAAAGGTACCATGATTTAAAAAAATAAAAAAAATAAAAAAAGCATGATACTGGCAGAAAAGGAGATCCAAGGATCAACAGAACAAAATAAAAGAGGCAGAAACAACTACAAACTCACTCATTTACCTTATCTTTGACAAAGGGACCAAACCTTTTTACTGGAAAAAAGATAGCCTCTTTAATAAATGGTGTTGAGGAAACTGGCTTTCCACATGCCAGAGATTAAACTTAGAACCATGTCTCTCACTATGCACTAAACTACAATCAAAATGGGTCAAATATCTAAATATATATATTAAAGGAAACAACCTTCTGCAAGACATAATAGGTAAAACTCTTGACAATATAGGTATAGGCAAAGACTATCAACTATCACAAAGAATCAACAACTGTAATTATGTCATATTATAAAGCCTCTGCATAGCAAAAGAAACCAACAGAGTGAAGAGAACCCACAAAATGGGAAAAAATTTTATGAGCTATTCCTCAAAGGACTAATATCCAGAATATATAAAGAACTCAAAAGATAGCTCTCTCCCTCCAATTTAAAGACACAATCCAAAAATAAGCATCTAAATTTAACAGGACAGGGCTGGTGAGATGGCTCAGTGGTCTAAGGCACCTACTTAGAACAAGCTCAGCAAAGCATAGGGACCACGGTTCAATCCCCCAGCACCACATGCCAGCCAGCCCCGCCCCCTGGTGGGCTGAGCTGGCCACACACACACACACACACACACACACACACACACACACACACACTAAATAAATATATTAAAAAATTAAAAAATAAATAAAATAAATAAATAAATTTAACAGGACACATTTCAAATAAAGAAGTAAAAATAACAAATCAGGGCTGGTGAGATGGCTCAGTGGTCTAAAGCCCCTACTTAGAACAAGCTTAGCAAAGCACAGGGACCGCGGTTCAATCCCCAGCACCACATGCCGGCCAGCCCCGCCCCTGGTGGGCTGAGCTGGCCACACACACACACACACACACACAAATAAATAAATAAATAAATAAATAAATAAATAAATAAAAAATAACAAATTGTATATGAAAAAATGTTCAAAATCACTGGCCACTTGAGAAATACAAATTAAAACAACACTGAGACTCCATCTCACTCTAGAAAAAATAGCTATCAATACAAATCAACCAATAACAAATGCTAACACACTTATGGAGAAAAAAGAATCCTTCTCCACTATTTGTGGATGTGTAAATTCGGGGATTCTTCAAAAACCTAACACCAGAGGTCCTATTTGACCCAACTAATCCCCTTCTACATACCTTCCTGAAAGAGTTAAAAGCATCATACGACAGTGTTATATAAACACCAGTGATTTTTTTTTTTTTTTTTAGCAGCACAGTTTGTAATACCTAAATCTTGGAAACAGTCCATATACCCATCAACAGATGAAAGGACAAATAAAACATAGTTTTTATATACAATACTACACTTCCATGAAGAAGAATAAGCTTCAGACATTTGTAAGTGAATGGATGTACTTTGAGAATATAAGTGAAACAAATCAGACACATATATTTATATATCATATTGTTTCTCTTATGTGAGAAACCCAAAGGGTAAATAAGGACTGAAATGAATAACAGATATTAGGATATAGGAAGAAAATGCTCAAATGGAAAGTAGAACAAGGGATGGAAGAGGAGGAAAGGAAATGAGGGAATAGGATTGTTTAAAAAATAATGAAAATAATAGAAATAAAGTTTTGTAAAGGGGAAGAGGAAGAAAGATTGAAATAAAGGTGGGGAATGGGGAAAAAATAATTAAGATACATTATGTACAAGTACAAATGCCCTATGATGAATGTGATTATGTATATTAAGAATGTATCAGTGGGGCCAAAGAGATAGCTCAGGGGACTAAGCACATGCTTAGGCAAGCACAGGGACCAGGGTTCAATCCCTGGCACCATGCCCTGCTGGCCCCAATCCCAGACACACTGAGCTGGCCACTGAGACCAGACATGGTATCCATGCCTGTAATCCCAGCGCTAGGAAGGCTGAAAACAGGAGGATCGCTGTGAGTCCAAGCTGCATAGCAAGACCCTATACCAAATATTTTTTAAAAAGGTATCAATAAAATTGTTTTTAAACTGATAAAGGACTTCTATCCAAAAACATAAAGAACTCTTAAACTAACACATAAGGTTGCAGTGTACCTCAGTGATAGAGCACTTCACTGGGTTCCATTCCCAGAAACACACACACAAAAAGAAACAAAACAACAAATTCTCCACACAATCCAACTTATAAATGGGCCAAGGCCTTAATACCTCTCTCTCAAAAAGAAACAGATGGCAAATAAGTTCAAGAAAAGAAACTCCACATCTGCATCACCAGGGAACTATAACAATGTAATAGCACTACACATACACTGCAATGGTCAAAATCCAAAATACTGACAACCACAAACGTTGACATTTCAATCAACAGCAATTCTCATACATTGCTAATGGGAATACAAAATGATACAGCTCTCCTTTAATGGCAAGTTTTCTTACAAATCTAAATACTCTGTTCCCCTGGAAAATAATCAGCCTTGAAAACCAGAGATCAAAAATGCCAACTCTAATCAGCCAGCCTTACCTACTTTATAGAGCAGCCACCAAGCAAGACAATGATGGCAGAAGTTAAGGCAAGGCTATGTTGACTAGGGCTGCCATTATTGACCTTTACTTGTCAAGGCTGATTATTTTCTGGTTAGGCCATATTCTCTGGGACACATTGCATATCTTACCGAAGAGTCCAGCTATCATGTTTCGATAGTTAATTAAAGGAGCTAAATGACCACACAGAAACATGTGTATGACTGCTTACTCACAGTTGCCAAACTTCAACAGGTCCCATAATAAGTGAATGGATAAACTATCACTTCTAGACAACACACTCCTCAGCACAAAAAAAGACATGAACTCTTAAGCCATGAAAAACAAAGCAAGGAATAACCTTAAATATGTATTACTAAGTGAACTGAAAAAAGCCAAGCTGAAAAGGTTATAGGATTCCAACTATACAACATTCTGAAAAAGCCAAAACTATAGACAGTAAGATGACCAATTTTTGCTGGATGAATATGCAGAGCACAGAGAACTGTTAAGGCAATAAGTACGCTGCATATGATACTGCAAGAGTAGACACACATCACTACACATCTGTACAAACCTAATAAATCAACAAGAAAATCTTCATGTAAATTATGGACTCTGGGTGACAGTAATGTGTCAGTGTGAGAAACACACCAGTCTTTCTCGGGATGTTGATACTAGGGGGAGGTGACATAAGTAACTGCCAATTTGCTATGAAACCTAAAGTTCCTTTAAAAGAAAAAAGGGGGCGGGGGGGTGAAATATGTCTTAAACCAGGCAGCTGAATGGATTAGGAGGAAAGACAAAATAATTGTAGGCCATAAAGAGTATGAATTCAGATCTTCACTTTCCTGACAATAACATTAAAACCAGTAGCTCTTACTTGATTTGCTTCACAGGCACTTTCTTCTGGAAAAGCTGCTGTACCATCCCTTGCTCTTCTGATGGAAGTAAAATTAATAAAGCTTCACCATCCTCCTTGTACCTAGAAAAAAATAAATCAAAAATCTAACACATCTGTGCAATCTACACTTTACATTTTAACACTACAATAAGGTAATATAGAACTCAGTTCTTCTAATTAATAAATATTTGGGATACCAGTTTATAGTTTTCTGTGACAAGAAAAAAAAAAACACACTTAGGTCTCATCATAATTCTAATACTCCTTTTACTTTCTAGTGTCTGTAAGGCTATAGCCCAGTAGAGGAGCTGGTACACAGGAAAGAAACCAACTGTCATAGTCGGGGTTAACAAGGGAAAAGATTTAACATAGGACACATAATTTATAGGATTATTTTATAATATTCACGCAAATAGTCAAATGCAAAACAGTGCAGGAGATCTGTCCACACACTAGAAACCCAAAGAATCCAGCTGAGGGCCTGGTCCCAAGGAAAGTCCTTCACATATCAGCTGAAGATCTAGCGCCCACGGCACTGCATGCCATGAGTCCCAGTGGAGACCGAGAGCCCTGATCAAGGGCTCATGCAAGTCTGTATCAAGAATCTGACCTGTAGGAAGGCCCAAAGGTCAGCTGTAGAAGCTAGAAGGTCTGCAGCAGTGGGGTGAAGGATTTCTACCAGCAGGCTGAGAGATGTGACTGAAGCCAGGAAGCAGTGCTCAAAGTAAGGATCAGAGCTCCCTTGAAAAGAACCCACAGGCGTCGTCGGCAACATGTTTACAACTAACCAAATGATAAACTATTTACTGAAAAAAATACTTTTTGAGTATCATTATTCACTCTCATTGACTATTTGTGACTATCATTAGTCACAAACTAAAAAACACAAAGAAACAAAAGATGAAAATTCCTGTCCTCATTAATCCTAACAGTTAACTAGAAAAGAAATCACACAAGCAAACGATTCAGAATAGCATTTACAAAATGGTAAGTCAGTGCCAAAGGACAGCCATGGGCCTTAAATGCACACCAACACAGAACTGAGAGAGACTACTCTATGCTTGCCAAAGGAAAAACCTGTAAGAGCCGATGGAATTTTAGGTAGGTCCTAAAGATAAGACAGAAAAGGTTATGCTGCTCCACAAGAGAAGGGCATGGCCAGCTAAGAAGAAAACAAAAGCTACAAGGCTAAAGAGAGAACTAAAAAATGAGGAAGGCTAAAGCCAAAATTAAAAAAAAAAAAAATGGGCAGGAGGTATATTAGAGCTTATTTTTAGAGGACTTTGGATGCAGTATAACTTTACTATTAATACTGAGGGGGAAATTGCCTTTAACAACTTAATGAGAGATGGTATTATACCTTATTTAGATGACTAAATGGTAATTTTGCATTATACGCTCATTGTAAAACTCAACTTCTACACAAAAGATAAAACTATAATCTAACACCAAAAAAATGTATGAATATCCTTGTTTGTAGAGACACAGAAAAAAATGTGAATTAAAATAAATCAAAAAGGAGCACAGTAGGGGCCAGCGAGATAGCTCTGTGGCATGGTGCTTCCCTGGGTTTGATCCCCAGTATCGGAAAAAATAAAAATAATATAACAATAATAAGGCTAGTCATCTTTATCTTATCTATCTGGTCATGCTTCCAGAGAATATAGAAAAATGAGTATCATTAGTCACAAAAAGGCCATACCTGAACTATTTAAAACTATAGCTAATAAAATATATAGAAACAACTATACATGGTTCTGACAGACTATAATAGTGACAGTCAGAAGTAAATTCTGAAAGGAAAGCAGAAAACGATGACCAAAATCAAATCCAACTTCACAGCTATCTTACAATCACGGCTAGCCATTTTACCTATTTTACTATATACGTCTTTTCTCCCAAGACAACATAAAATGCAAACTTTCTCCCATTTGGAATTTTCTCCCATATGCTGATACCAAAAAAATTTCAGTGAGTTTTATTTCAATAAAAGCACTCTGCTGGGCATGGTAGTGCACACTTGTATATCTCAGCACTTGGGAGGCTGAGGCAGGAGGATCTTTGTGAACTGAGAACAGTGTGCGCTACAAAGTGAGCTCAAGGCCAGTCTGAATTGTACAGCTGACTGTCTCTAAAAGAAAAAAAAAAAAAAAGAAGAAGAAGAAGCTTTAAGTGCTGGGGATTACAGGTGTGCACCATCACACCCAGCTCCTATGAAAGACTTTAAAACTTTTTTTTATTTTAGAGAGGAAAAAAAAAAAAAAAAGATAAACATAACAATGAAACTGAGGCTCAAAACAAATTAGTGGGACAGTTACAAGACTTTACAATTTCTAATCCACTGCTTGTCTCAATTACAGTATACCAAGATTACTTCCAGAAACAAGGATTTTAAAGTGATGGATCATGATTATTTAACAGATATCAAGAAGCTCACCTCCATACACTGCAGTTCACTAGTATTTCTTAGCTAAAGTAAGTGATCAAAACCCTTGGCTTAGACACACATGGCAATTTTCCATTAAAATAATCTTTATAAAACTATGACCACTGCTGTGCCGGCCCCGCCTCCAGGGTGCACTGAGAGGGCACTTGAGACTGGGTGTGGTGGCACTTTTGGGCGCCTGTAATCCCAGTTCTTGGGAGGCTGTAAACAGGCAGATCACTATGAGTCCAATCTAGTAGTGAGACCCTGAACACCCTGTAGACCCCTCCCTAAAAATACAAAAAAATAAAAATAAAAAAAACACTATGACCAAAAGAAGAGAACAACCTTGCTGTTGTGGCAATAATCTGCTTTGACTCAGGAGTTAATAATCTTTCTGGGCATGGTAGCACACATCTGTGATCCCAGCACTCAGGACGCTGAGGAAAGGGGGACTGTCATAAACTTCAGGCCACCCAGGGTACCTAATATGCCCAAGGTCAGGCTGAACTACACAGTGATACCCTATCTCAAAAACAAGAAGAGAATAACCTTTTTACTTCAATTCGGATTCTGAACATACCACTCCATTTTGGTTGAGTCTCTGTTAAAACTTTTCTGTACTACATGTTCTTACTCATACATACACTTAAATCTAGGTCTCCTAAAATTCTACTATCATGATTATTAATATACTAGACATTGTTCACAATACAAGTTTCATCAAGAGATAAAGAAAAGGAGACATTTGTTGGATATATTTTGCTATTCCATAGTCTTTGACTTTTCCCCGTCTTAGGTCTCCTTTTATTATTCCTACAGCTTAGCTTTACTTGTAGGAACCATCCCCAGGACTTCATATCACTATGGGAAAACACTGCAGCCTGTAAGTGAATTATGAGTAAGAATGTGTAGTATAGAAAGTTGCAGAAAGACAGCTCTAAGAAATCCCAGCCAAACTGACCTGTTTCTCCCTCACATTGTGGTACAAAGCAAACTCATTATTCCAGGAATAAGGGTATCTCTGATTTAAAGAATGTCTAAAGATTCTCTACTGTATTTAAAAGAGAAAAAGACAAGACTGCAAATATCCTGGGAGAAAGTGAACATCATCTGCTGCCTACAACCTCAGAAATAACATAACAGATACTATCATGACAAGCATGGAATCTTGGGACGGGGGTGCACAGTTAGATGTTTCTGGGCGGATTGTGGAGGTGTGGCCTTGGGTCCTATGCACGCCCCTGCCCCTCCCATTCTGGCACTCCTCTCCTCTGCTACCAGCTGCCCTGAACAAGCACCTCTGCTCCCCATGCTCTTGCACCATGATGCCGTGGAGCCGGCCAGCTGCAGACTGACTCTACCAGAAATCGTAAGCCAAGTTAAAACTCTCCTTGTCAAGATGTGGGTAGTTAGTGTAAGAACCTGAAAGAGTAAATAAATCTGAAAGTTATAATAGATATTGTGAAAGGGAAAGACACTGCTCAAAAGCAAAGAACAATAGTGATGTGGAAAGGAGAAAAGAAAGAAGGGAAATATATATATATATATATATATATGCACATATACTCAAGATAGCTAATTGTACTACTAATTTCTATTGGCTTATTGAAAGGCACAGTTAATGTTTAATTGTTTAATCAATAGCTATACCTGGTACTCTGAGCAAGTACTCTGAAGATAACAATATGTAATACAACAACCATTGTTAATTTCCTATCATCTTGTTTTGAAATTCTGCATTTTTTTATTATTTTTGTGTTGTATTATTTTTCTTTGTTTTTGTTTTCTTTTTGTTCCTTTGTCTTTAAAATAATTTTTTTTTTTTTTTTTTTTTTTGCAGAACTGGGAATCGAACTCAGTCCCTTGCACTTGCTAGGGAAGCGCTTATTCCACTGAGCCATCTCCCCAACCTAAAATAAATTTTTAAAATAGATGTCAGTATTGTGTCTAGCAATGAGAAAGTTGACTATCACTGATCTCTTATCAACTGTTCTCAGGAAAGAATTTTCTTATAGCTACATTAAATTTTAATAGACTCCTAACAAAAATAAAAGTAGCACTACTACCACCTACAAGTATACATTCAGAAAACTGAGAGATAGTTATGATTAACTTCATTTTATAGAAGAAACAAACTTAGAAGTTAAAAGCTGGTCCAAAGGCACACAATCATCAGGCAACAAAGTCTAATGCAAACCTAAATATCCTAACTTCAAAGACAGTATCTGAACAACTATGAGATACCTGCCCCTCATAATGCAAAGGAAGTAAAATATATGTATTTTAGTTGATTTTCATAACCACAAATGGCAGCCAATTTAAATAAATATCTAGTTTCTATCTCCAAGTGTACATCTGGCTTTCATGCATTTTAGAACCTCTGAATGGGAGCAGCAATCGCTAGAATTTATTTTAAAAAAACACCTCGATTAAGGTATTCTAGTAAAAATGAATCAGAAAGAACAGAACATAAATCCAGGCCTGGTACTTACTAAATAATCTTAGACGTATTTTACCTGAAAATCTCTACAAAGGCATTTCCTGATTAAAAAAAACTTTCACAGTTACTCTATTGGCAAAATAAATCCATTCATTTATTCACTCAAATATTTATCGAGTTTTCAAAGCTAAGCCACAATCCATCCAGAGGCAG